GGGGTGGAAAAACAGCACAATGAAGATAATGGATTTCAAGAAACTGTTGTAGGTAAGATCCCATGGGAAGCGGTAGATGTGGTATATCAATTTTAATATGGCTCTGGATACAGTCTCACATGACCTTCTCATAAACAAACTAGGGAAATACAACCTAGATGAAGCTACTATAAAGGTGGGTGCATAATTGGTTGGAAAACCATGCCCAGGGAGTAGTTATCAATGGTTCAGTGTCAAGCTGGAAGGGCATATTGAATGGGGGTCCCGCAGGGATCAGTTCTGGGTCCGGTTCTGTTCAATATTTTCATCAATAATTTAGATAATGGCGTAGAGAATACATTTATAAAGTTTGTGGACAATACCAAGCTGGGAGAGGTTGCAAGTGCTTTGGCAGACTGGATTAAAATTCAAAGTGATCTGGACAAACTGGAGAAATGGGATGAAATTCAATAAAGGACAAATGCAAAGTACTCCACTTAGGAAGGAACAATCGATTGTATACATACAAAATGGGAAACAACTGCCCAGTAAGGAGTACTGCAGAAAGGGATCTGGGGATCATAGTGGATCACAAGCTAAATAGGAGTGAACAGTGTAACACTGTTGCACACACACACAAAAAAAGCAAACAAACATTCTGGGATGTATTAGGAGTGTTGTAAGCAAGACACGTGAAGTAATTCTTACGCTCTACTCTGTGCTGATTAGGCCTCAGCTGGAGCACTGTGTCCAATTCCAGGCACCACATATCAAGAAAGATGTGGAGAAATTGGAGAAAGCAGAAGAGCAACAACAAAAAAATAAAAAATAAAAAAAAAGATTGAATGTCTAGAAAACATGACTGTGACAGGGTGCTGGGCAAAGGGTTGCAGATCCAGCCCTCTGTCACACCTGCTCCTTGTTAGGGAAACAAATTAGAGCAGGCTGGAGATAACCTGACCCTAATTAGGGAGACAGCTGCTACCTAATTAGCCTGGGGCTGCATAAAAGCCTTCAGGGAAGGAAGCCAGGGGAGAGCAGGAAAGGCAGGGAATGGACGGTAGCGCTCCCTCCTGAAGATGGTGAAATGCTACTTGGACATGTTTCAGAGTAGCAGCCGTGTTAGTCTGTATCCGCAAAAAGAAGAACAGGAGTACTTGTGGCACCTTAGAGACTAACAAATTTATTAGAGCATAAGC